GAGGAGAAGTCGAGAAGATGTCCGACAGCGGGTCCCCCACTCGTCGGAATGATTCGCGAGATGACTTCAGTGGTGTCCCCGTCCGTGTCCGAAACCGTCACCACGAACGAGTAATTCTTCCTCTCGTTGAGCCGCTGACGGAGGAACACGTATCCGAACTCGTCCTTGTCGGACCTCACGGAGAGCATGTCCCGTCTATGCCTGAAGGAGGGAGGGAGGGAGGTGGTTAGGTGGTGGAGGTGGAGGTGGAAGAGGGAAGTGGTGGGGGAGGAGGAGAGAGGGAGAGGGAGGAGGAGGTGGTGGAGGTGGAGGTGGAGGTTGAGGGGAGAGGGGGAAGGAGGGAGGTGGTCAGGTGGTGGAGGTGGAGGAAGTGAAAGTGGTGGAGGTGGAGGGGTGAGGGAGGTAGAGGGAGAGGAGGGAGGTATGGAGGTGGTTAGGTGGTGGAGGTTGAGGTGGTGTGGAGGGGAGTGGGTAGAGGAGGTGGTGGAGGTGGTTAGGTGGAGGAGGAGAGAGGGAGAGGGAGGAGGTGGAAGTGGAGGGGAGGGAGGTGGAGGTGGAGGGAGGAGGGAAGTTGAGGTGGTGGAGGTGAGGGGAGGGGAGCGGAAAGGTGGAGGTGGAGGAGAGGAGGAAAATGATGATGAAGAGGAGATGGAGGTGGAAATGGAAGACGATGAAGAGGAGGAGAAGGAAAATGAGTAGGAGGTGGATAGCAAAAGGAAGATATGAAGGAGGGAGAGGGAGTGTTAACTGATACTGGAATGAGGAAGTGAGAAGGAGAAAGAAAATGAGAATAAAATTTGAAAGTTCTATAGACGGATTTCGTGAGCGAGGAGAAGAGAGTAAGAGAAAAATTGATGTTTGGGAAGGAAGTGAATAGAAATTAAGATAAAGCGAAGGAAAATCGAATAACTGGGACGGAAAGAGGAAGGGAAGTGGAAAGGGGGATGAAATTATAACGAGAGAAAACAGAAACTGACATGAGAGAGGAAGAAGGAAGAGGAAAATTAATTTAAAAAAAACAGATAAGAAGCTTGAGAACCAAAAACAAAGGAAGATGAATGGTAAATAAAGAGAATAAGGAAGAGAGAGGGAAATGAATGGTAAAGAAAGACAATAAAGAAAAGAAAGAGGAAGTGATGCAATACAAAGATTAGTAAGAGTATCTCGCATCACACTCCACGCCAGAGAAAAAGAGAGATGAAGAGATAATGGATAATTAGATCGAGACGAAAAAAAGAAGATATTAGCTTATAAGGAAGAGAAAGTGTGATGTGAGCTCAATAAAAAAATATACTGGAATAGATTCTTAATAAACCAATTATGTAAAATGGATGAGAGAAGAAAGAAGAGAGAAAAAAAAGAGCTATGAACTGACAGACAGACAGAAGGACATACACAGACAGAGGTACATGTACATATACACAGAGAACAAAAAAATCACAAAAAAAATCTTGAAAAATCACAGGCTTATGTAAAGTACATTGCTTGGTCTCTTTGCTGTCTATCTGTATGCATGTATGTATGTATCTATCTATCCATCAATCTCTCTCTATCTATCTGTCTGTCTAGTCTACCACCTATCCATCTTTAGTCTCTTCAGTCGTCTCTCTCTCTTCTCTCTCCTCTCCTCTTCTCTCGATCCTCTTCCTTCTCTCTCTCTCGCCATCGCCGACCTCCTCCTCTCAGTCCCAGCCATCCTCTCTCTCCCATCTCTCTTCCGTCGTCGATACTGCGCTCTCTAGGGATGATCTCTATGTGTGGACCTCGCTCGTCGCGCACATGTACGCGAAACCCACACTCCTCTCTCTCTCTCTCTCTCTCTCTAGGGGATAGTGTACGCGGGACGAAACGTCTTTTAGAGAAAAAAAAATAAAAGATAATAAGTTATAACTTAAACCTATATTTTTCTTCTTTTCTCCGTAAATCTAGCGCCCAAAGCCAATCCCAGCCAGGAGATAAACAAAATATCTATCTATACAATCTATTCATACGAAATGACACGTTTCCCAATCTCACTCCCTTTTTTTTTCCTCGATTACACAGATAAGCTAAATAGCAAAATCCCTTTCTCCCTATCTCCCTCTTTCCCTCTCTCCCTCTCTCCCTCTCTCCCTCCTTCCCCTACCCCCCTCACTTCTCATCTTCCAAAATCCTTTAAAAGAGAGACGAATAGGATCCAATCGTGCAGAAGATTTTTATCCTTCGCTTTTTCCGAACAAAAGAGGATCAGATTTCGTACTCTCTCTAATCTTCGGATTTAAAAGGGTTTCCCCTTGAAAGGAACCACAAAAAAACGCGATTTCGAAGAATAGAGAAAATGGGATGATAGATTGCTTATTATATATATGTATATACGTTAATCATCATCGTGAAAAAATGGACGATGAGGGCTGTCTGATGGAGCTGTCGATATGGGATGATGGCCTTTTGGATCATGTTCCTTGGGGGGTCACGTGACTCCCGTAGCACACGCGAGGTCACTCAGGTCAGCTTACGTATAAGGTCAGGAAGGTCAGATTACCAAGAGGATCAGATATAACGCCATAAACAAGAGGTGGACAATTTTTACAAGGGCGTCTCCAAGGTCTTGTCAAACTCCTTTATGGACACAACACCAATAAAGTTCAATAAAACAACGAAGGTCAAAGGGTCAAGTCGGATGAACGAGGACAAGCGGGAGGAAGGAAAGAGAGAAAAAAAAAAAAAAAAAAATGGTGGTTTTGTCAGGATCCTTCTTGTGGAACTAGAATTTAGAAATATCGCCTCATGGCATTACGTTTACAAAACACACACGCATGTACACACACACACACATATATATATTATATATATATATATATATATATATATATATATATATATATATATATATATATATATATATATATGTATGTTGTGTGTGTGTGTGTGTGTGTGTGTGTGTGTGTGTGTGTGTGTGTGTGTGTGTGTGTGTGTGTGTGTGTGGTGTGTGTGTTGTGTGTGTGTGTGTGTGTGTGTGTGTGTGTGCTGTGTGTGTGCATATGTGTCTTGTATATGTAATTAACTTAAATACGTAGTAAAAATACACCAAAAAATATATATTTTTGCAAAAAAAAAAAAATAAAAGTACTTTATTTTCGGGCACAAGAATTCTTTGCATGAAGACTTAGTGAAGCGATTTAATGATTAATGAAGTGCTCTTGGTGGAAGGTAAAAACAAAACAAGGAAGTATTGCATTTTCTTAGAATTATATAACTAAAATGACGGGGCACGTTTGTTTAATATCATGTGGCGTTATTTATTGTGTATGTCTTTGTCTTTTTATGTCTTCTGTTAGATAATTACAAGTTACACTGTAATTGATTAAACCGAATGTAATGGAATATGGAACTCACGATTGTATGATAAATACACACATACACATACTATACATGTGTGTGTGTGTGTGTGTGTGTGTGTGTGTGTGTGTGTTTGTGTGTGTGTGTGTGTGTAGATAGACAGATAGATAGTATAGATATAGATAGATATATATATATATAGATAGATAGATATAGATATATATCTTTTATTTATCCATTTATATTTATCTATTTATCTATCTATTTATCTATCTATATATACCTATAAATATACAAACATAACTATCTATTCACTCGCACTTAATAGCAAAGACGAAAAACAAAAACCCCCAAAATATGAGTCAACCAGCGATTAAGACACCACGCCCCCCCCCCCCGCCTCCCCCCCTCGCCCTCCTTGCCCTCCCCCCCTCGCCCTTCTTGCCCCCCCCCGTGAGGCCTGCGATATCCCTAGGGGAGGGGGGGGAGGGGGGAGGGGTAGTCGCGAAGGAGCGAGCGAGGCTTTTTGTCGGCGCCGAGGAGGAGGAGGAGGAGGAGGAGAGGAGGAGGAGGAGGAGGAGGAGGAGGAGGAGGAGGAGGAGGAGGAGGAGAGGAGGAGGGGAGGAAGGAGGAGGAAGAGGAGGAAGGAGGGAGGAAAGGAGAAGGATTTTGTGCTTCTTTATATATATATATATATATATGTGTGTGTGTGTGTGTTTGTGAGGGGTGTGTTTGTGTATGTGTGTGTGTGTGTTTGTGTCTGTGTGTGTGTGTTTGTGTGTGTGTGTGTGTGCGTTGTGTGTTGTGTGTCTTGTCTGTGGTGTGTGTTCTGTGTCTGTCTGTGTCTGTGTGTGTTGCTGTGTTGTGTGTCCGGAGAAATCACGTTCTACTGAAGTTCTGCAATTTTCATGACACACTCCTACTCAAAGTGCACAATTCATCCAAATAACTTTGAGCACTTTGCATGACGTCATTCGTGAGAGTCTAAGTAATTGATTTGTTTTCGTAAATATCTTAAAATGCGGTTGAACGTTCGAGTATGCGAGCAAAATTTTGTCAAAACAAAAAAACTAATAAGAAATATGTAACCTTGTTTTCGTAAATATCTTAAGAGAAATGCGGTTGAACGTTCGAGTATGCGAGCAAAATTTTGTCAAAACAAAAAAACTAATAAGAAAAACTAATAGAAAAAATGTAACCATGATTAGTATGATTACTAATGATAATTCACGAATGTAATAATCAGAGTTACCGGTAAGAATATTTTTTTTTTTATTTCTTTCTTTCTTTCTTTCTTTCTTTCTCTCTTTCTTTTTCTTCTTTTTTTTTTTTTTTTTTTTTTTTTTTGAGGGGGTGGGGGGATAAGAAAAAGATTTCAATAGGTTGTTTTTGCTTCAGCTTAAAAGTAGAAATTAATATTTATCACATCTACTTCTTTGGCATATAATTACTTATACATATTTTGTATCCGTATTCCATTTCTCTATTTATAAATCTTATTCACTATATCTCTTCCTACATTCTTCCCCTAGTCACTACAAACTCTAAAAGTCTATTTACGTCTTCGAAGAATCCTAAACGTTTCATTTTGAAAAGAAATTCCCAACCATTATAAAGTCATAAAGTGAATTATAAAGTGAATTATAATCTCAACAAACTGTGTGTTAGCATCCACTCCGCGCCTTTTTTTTTTTCTCATCCAGCACAGATGGTGTGACAATGACCCATCTTTTAGAGTCTCTCCGTGTCAAATGGCTGCTCATTTTAAACGGTTTTTTTTGTAGAGTTTTATGTCACTTTTAAGCTTACAGACACGTCCTTATATATAAAGCATATTCTAGACTTGATTTTGACTCATAATCTGCAATTTTTACACTGGATTT